TTATTGAAACCAATAGCATTATATTGCAAGATAGCATTACATTACAGTAAGCATGAAGTTCAATAATATAGAACCAAGGTTTTGAAGTTGGGGCCTTTCCTCTCTCCTATTAGGGATGGGCCTTGGAGCATTTCTAATTTTTTACTTACATTTTTGAAGAGTCCTCTTTTTCTTTCTTTCTTTCTTTCTTTCTTTTTTTTTTTTTTTTTTGCCTTAGTTCTGTTTGGGTGAGGACAGTGGCAGTGGAAAAATAGCTAATATACTTTCAAAGTCACATAGAGCTGGTTAATAAATCCCTTGAGTAGCTATACAATAGAATTTTAAATATCCTCCATTTAGAAGTTCAGGGGCTAAACAAAGAATAGTGATACATTGCTAAGATGTTGCCTCTGGTCAGTGGGAAGTAAGACAAACACCACATAACCATCACCAAACTACTAAAATATAAAATGTGTTATAGACTTTTTACTGTTAATTAATCTTGCTCTAGTTATTAGTGCTGGACCATAACTAGCTATTTCGACAGGCAATCTATCTGATCAAAAATTATCCTACAATTCATCAGGTAAAGAGGAAAGACAACCCATCACCTCACTCAGGTGAACAATGTTATCTCGTGTAAATCTAAATTGTGACTCAAAAATAATCAGGTATCAGACTTCCTTTTATGCCATCTGTCTATTTCTTAGGAAAACAGTTTGCTGGAAAAGCATTTCACTTGTTCTTGTCATCTGCTTCCCTGGTTTGATCACTGAGTGACTTTCTCCATACTGAGAAGAGACATTTTTCAGTCACCCAAACGATCCTCAGCCTGGTTGTAAATGAGCCAGGCAGTAAGTGACATGAAGCCCAGGGGTGTATCCTAGCACCAAGCACAGTGCCTTCTCTGGAATATGAGGTGCTGACCTAGTATTTAGGGGTATAATACCTAGTATCTAGTAATATAGGGGTGCTCACCTAGTGTTTGCTGAATGAATGAACAATGAAATGACAAGTTCAATTAGACAAAATTTGTGCAATTAGTCTAGACGTAGCTCTACAATTCTGCTTGTTTTTTGTTTCAGAAAAACAGGTGTCTTCCTTCAGCCCTCTGCCTCATATGTATGCCATGTTACATCACGAGATATGAATTCTTTTCTTTCATCTGAGGGTGTGGATCTTATGACCAGAATTCTAAGTTGGCAAATGCATGTGCTAAAAAGATGGTCAATGTCAGTTATCTTCAGTCATTACCATTCGGCATGGGTTACTGCTGCTATAAGCAAATTGCATGACTATAAATGCATCTCCAGTGTTTTGTTTGTTTGTTTGTTTTTACATAATTTCAGAAACTAACAGGAAAAAAACCTCACGAAACATACTCTGGTACATTGGAATGATGGACTTGATGCCAGACGTCATGGATGAAGCCAGGTCACTACTATTCGCCAGTGACCTGTGTCAACTTGAACAAAATGCATAACCTCTCTGGTCCTTTATTGATAAGTAATACCTAATTCAGAAGGCTGCTGTGAAGATTTAAGTTCAAGAAGAAACTTTAAGTTACTCTACATACATAAGGCTTTTTTTTTTTCCTATTCAAATTTCAAGAGAAAGTAATTGAGTTGTTGGCTTTCCCCAGCCTGTGTCTACATAAGAGTGAGACTGTTTTGACAAGAAATTAGTGGGAACAGATACTTGGCATATACTCTTCTTGTTACCAGATCTAGTCACATCAGGATAATGCTTAATCTAAATGCTTGCTTCAAAGCAGTTGGTTTTGCCAGAGTGGAGAAATTTCTAGTGGAAATATTTAGAGACAAATTAGATCAACTCCAGGCACTCAATTATGTTACTCTTGTATCTGTGATCCAACCCACGTGTCCGTTTCCATACTTTTATGATTGATCTTAGTCTTTGAGCTAAGATGATCTTCTGGCCATTGCACTAGTTGTTAAGATTGCTAGAAGAATCAAATAAACCATTCTTGAGATTGTGTTATTTTGAGTTCATTCAAATAGTCTCTACTCAAATTTTGTCTCTGGTCACTGAGCTAGCTCCCGATGAGTACCCTTTCCCAGTAGCAGAAACCGCCAGTGCGCCTGAAGGAACCAGTCTGCATGCCCGTCATTCACGCAGTGCTTCTTCAACTAGGGATATATTTTCCGAAGGGTACAAAAGAGGTATATGAAGTCATAAGAGTATCGATTTTACTAGTCGATAAGCAATATAAAACATCATTTCTTTTATATTGACACATATGGAGTAAAATGCAGCATTTACATGAATTTTTAATGTAAAAATAAGACTTCAAAAGAATTCTGTGCTTGGTATAGTTGCAGACCATTTCAGGCGTACACACGCTCATTCCCTGTGCCAGCTGCAGTTCATTGAAAAGGTTTCAGAAGTGCTGCAGAAGTGCACTCTGGGAGCCCTCGGTTCCCAAACTGCCTCCCTGTGAAACAACAAAGTTTGTTTGTTTGTTTGTTTGTTTAGAGGAGCATTTTATTGTTCTTCTAGCTGAAGACTTTTGGCTCAGAGGGGCTAAGAAGAATGGAAGGTTAAGCTTCCATAAGATGGACTTGAAAGTTCTCTGGAACTTAAGATATTAAAGGGAAAAAAGTTTTTAGGGAAAATGCCTCCAGGTTTGGATGTTTAGGATTCCTTATCTAGGTAAGATTTCTAACATTAACATTCTGGAGAGGGGTTCTTAGTAGAAAGCCTAATGGACACATGAAAGTGGGCATTAGTGAACTATCAGGGCAAAAAGACAAATCCACCTGTGCAGACAGATAAATGAAAAAAAAAAAACAAAACCCAAATTGAGATATAACAATACAGAGACATTAGAAAATAATTGCTTTCTAAGACTACATAAAGAAAATGATTTTCCTAACTTATTTGCTATTCATCTAAAAGCAGACATACCCATTTGACTTGAAAAACTACATGTAGAAAATTCCAACATTCTAGATTTACAAAAACAGATCAATATTTCATTTTAGACACTGATGTGAGTATGAGTACTGTAAATAATCAATGGTTAATGACCATAAACCCTTCAAGGTTATGTCTTGAGACAAACATGAAACCGTTAAGAAATTCTAAGTGCAGTGAAAAATATTTAAAATTGTTTTTAGCAGTAGGGATGCTTGGATTTCAGCTAAGAACAAAACTGTTTTCTTATCTGAGATATAATGACCAGATTCTGTTAATAAATTCTGTTCCTAAAGCCTTAAATTCTAAACATTTGGGTTGTCTTTTGCCAGTGTTTTTACAGTAATTTAAAAAACAGAATACAATTTAGAATTTGTTTTTTCTTTAAACAAAAGTTGTGCTTTAAATTTGGTTCGGAATTTTCCCAACTCTTTCCATGAACTACACACACACACACACACACACACACACACACACACTCACACATGCATGTGCACACACACGTACAAAATGCATTATGCTGAGGCAAAACTTGAACATTCCTGAGAGACCAAGGAATCGTCTTAACCATGAAGTCTTAACGGAGCTGAGAAAGAATTCTGTCTTGGATTTATTGGGGGTAAAACAGAGACTAAGATGTTTTTCAAGGCCTATCCAGAATCACACATCTGGTAATCGTGGATCTGGAACCAGAACCTTCATTTCCCATGAAGCAAAATGGATTCAACCGACCTGGATTCTTAGCACAGACTTCACCAACAGGATAAGCGCCAGCACGTGTCTCAACTCCTCTGGATTTCAGTGTTTTCAGTAGAAAATGCTGGATGTGGCTTTCCACAAGGGTTGTCCTGGTGATGCTTGGGATGTTGGAAACATCAAGGGGTGTTTCTAATTGCTGGTGCCTACTGGCCTCTGTAGGGCTCCTCAAGCAGCCATGTTCCCTCCCCACACTGGGAATTACTGGACTACCGTTACCAGCCTACGACTCTTTTTATGGTAACTCATTTCTGAACCCAACTAACTGTGAGAGGGGTGGCAGTCTGACTTAGCTTTCAGTTTGTCAGAAGTCACTTTTTGGAATTCCCATTTTGGCATATCTACATTCTATCTTTAGTTCTTCAGATAGAAAAGTTTATGTTGGCTTCAAGTGGAAAATACTGTCATCTTTCGATGGTCAACATACAACTAAAAAACAAAAAACAAAAACCACCTAAATTTCCAAATGTGGAGTGCGTTAAAAGAAAAAAAAAAGTTTAGTTCTATGATATAACCTTTGACATATTTTCAGGGTTTTAGGCTGTGGCAAAATTAGATATATAATTGGCAAAATTTCAAGCTTAAATTCCAAATTTGTCTATATCTGGTCATTAAATCTTGCCTATTTTCATGATTTATAAATAAAGCCACAAGTGCCACAACTAAGCAGAAGCACAAAAGAAAAATGCACCCTATGAATTATATCACAATAAAAATACTGTATTCCTTTAAACAAATGACTTTTAAGAGCTTTATAACCCAAAGCAAGATATGTGAGATGGTTTAAGAAGAGGTTGCAATTTTGCAACAGGAAGTCTGTACAGCTCCTCCAGGCAGTAGCTGTGAAGGAAGTATCTGTGTCTCAGAAACTTGTTTCCATATGTTCTTGACAATTTTGCATCCCGGGTCCCATTATTTACAAAGTTACGCATTTTGCAAGCTCAAAGCACCTTGGTCCTCCTAATTACGAATGCATGCAGTGACATTTCATCCTTTCATGTGCAAATTCATTCATTGTAACAGAAAAGTTAAAAGTTGAAATCTGTCTACAATTTGAAATGAAAGGATCAAAAATGTCAGACATTGCAGAATACTGGTTCCTAATAGAGCTCTCTTTATTTGTTCACTGTTCCTCAGTCATTTCTGTTCGTTACAAAATGCAGTCTTGACTCTTTATTTTAACAGTACTTAAACTAAACTGTTCATGCCATGCAAAAATAACATTTTATGCACTTTTTTTGTGGGAGGGGGCTTCCCATGTTTTTAGTTCACAGGCATTATTACCGCATTTTTAAGAAACAAGTTTTTATTATTATTATTATTATTATTTATTATTATTATTGCTTTTGTAACTAGTCACATGCTGGTTTCACGTGTGGGACAATAACTTGTGTCTCCCGGGTTGGAATGAATTTCTGGGGCAAACAAGTGGTTTTCCATCTTGCACCCTTCTTGACTATTGTCCTTTTTTACTTCCGCCACAGCATGGTAAATGTCTTGCCTACAGTTGTGACTTGTGTCCTGGGGGGAGGAAGAGCCCACACAGGCCTCTTCTCTCAAAGGGTCTCTTCCATCACTAGGTTTATCTGCAAAGCAGTTGGGGCTGGAGTCTGCCTGCTTGTCCTGCCTGGGCCCCTGGAGCTCTAAGAAGTCATCGTCTTCGCCAGTGTCTATTTCGGTGAAGCTCCTCCTCTCTCTTGACGAGAAAGGAAAGAGTTTCTGCTTGGGAAACCGAGGGGTCAGCCCTTTGGAAGGTCCCTGACAGTGTGCGGATATCTCGGCGCCCAGCAAGGGTCTGTCTCCCTGGGAGGGGGTTTCTTCGAGGAGGATGGTGCTGATGAGCTGCGGGGTGGTGAGGGAAAAGTCAGCCGTGGTGACGGGCAGGGGCCTGGCTGTGCTGGGCGGGGTCTGCGGGGCACCGCCTCTGTTTTCCTTAAAGTTCACTTTGAGCGATCTGGATTTTAGGGGGTTGCTGCCTTTCAGCGAACTCTTAGGGCTCTCGGAGGTACCGTCCGACGGCAAAGGGCCGTGGAGCCCACTTTGGGAAGCGCTGGCATCAAGGCTCACAGTGATGTCGACTGGAGCGTATTCCAGGATGGCATCCCTGGCCCCGGGCCCTTTCTCTCTGCTCAGTGTTAGAAATGGGGGCCCCCTGACTCTTTGGTGCTCTTCCGTCCCCGGGACGTCGGGTGGGAACTTCATCTGCAAGTGGGAGGCGGTCAGCGGCGGCAGGGGCGACCTCTCGGTCTCTGTGAAGTCGGTGGCGCAGCTGGTGAAGCTGTCAATGCTGGAGGTGCTCTTCATGTCCACGATGACCTCGGTCTGCGCCACGGCCAGCTGCTCCTGCGGGCACACCACTACTTCCATCTCGATCTCCTCCTCGTACGCAGAGGGCCTCTCGGGCTGCTCCTGGCAGTCCGGGTTCGGGTGGGCGTGAGGCTGCGTCTTGGTGATCTCGTTGTACAGCATCTCCAGTTTCTGGGCGCTCAGATGCTGCGGGCTGGAGGAAGAAGTGTTGTTCAGCTGGTCGTGGGAGTCTTTCTGGCTAACCTCCTGGTACTTATTCTCGAAAGATTTGTTGGAGCTTGTTTCCGACAGAGCTTTCCTGGCCCACTTCCACCGGCTTGGGGACAGGTGATTATCATCAGCCGAGTCCTTGGTACTGGCCGACTCTCCTGCCTTCTCCACCGCCACGTCTATCAGTTCCATGCTGCGCGCAAAGGCATCTTTTAAGTTCATGGAAACAATGCTTCCGTTCCTCTTGGCCCGCTCAAGAGCCTCTCTCCTTTTAATTGCCTTCTCCTGGCGTTTCTGCTCCTTGTAAAACTCAGAAAAATTGTTCACAATGATTGGGATGGGAAGGGCAATAACCAGAACCCCGGCAATACAGCAGAGGCCTCCCACGATTTTCCCTAATAGTGTTTTCGGGTAAATGTCACCATAGCCCACGGTGGTCATGGTGATGGTGGCCCACCAAAACGACGCTGGGATACTGGTGAACTTGGTAGCGTCTTCGTCCTTCTCTGCAAAAAATACCAGGCTGGAAAATATCATTATCCCCATGGCCAAAAATAAGATCAGTAAGCCCAATTCGTTGTAGCTCCGTCTGAGGGTGAACCCCAAGGACTGCAGGCCTGTGGAATGCCTGGCGAGTTTCAGGATCCTAAGGATCCGCATAATCCGAAAGATTTGAACCACGCGCCTCACGTTCTGGAACTGCAGCACGCTCTTGTTGGACTCCGTGAGGAAGATGGTGACGTAATATGGCAAGATGGCCAGCAAGTCTATGACATTTAGGGGGCCTTTGAAGAACTTCCACTTGTTTGGTGAGGACAGGAAGCGTAAAAGGTACTCCATGGTAAACCAAGCAATACACACAGCCTCCACGTGGGCTAACTGGGGGTTGTCGTTGGGTTGGCCAAATTCATCTGTTGCCTGCAGCTCTGGTAGAGTGTTGAGAGACAGAGCGATGGTGGAGAGTACGATGAATAGGATAGACACGATGGCCAAGATCTGGAAAAGAGAAGGAAGCCCAAGTTAGCAAATCCTCTTCGTTGCCTAGGCAGCTGGGAGACATATGGATTCACTGTTTTTTTTCAGTGATATGAACTGCTCAAAGATATTCCAGGAAGGTAACTTTATAGCTGAAAATTCTCTAACTAATGCAAACACATTCATTTTTTATGAGTTCATTTCACTTAGAAGCACAATGTAGTACCCATTTAAATTCCAGGGCCTAAACAATTTGGAAAAAAAAAAGAAAAAGAAAATCCATCCTCCACCCCTGCCTTTGTTCTTGTGTTGATCCCTTTGGAATCGCTTTGGGAACCAGTCTCTCTTCTCTCAGTTTTGTTATTTTTCTCTCTTAACCACCTGGTTTGTGTTTCTTTAAGTGAATCGCGTGACGTGTCACATATGCTAGACAGAATTCATGGTTTCTAGAAGTTTTATTCTACAACTGAAACCAAGAATGCAGACCTACACATGAGAGGTAATATAGCACTGGGTACAACAGTGTTTCTCATACAAAAAATACCATTTATACGGTAAGCACTGATGGCAGAACCAAATCAGGAAAGCCTTCATCCTGGGATGTGGGGACTCCTGGCCAGCATCATGTGGGAAAGGAAGACTACAGTTAACTTCATTCGGTCAAGAATGAAGTCTTCATAAAGAAGAGCTTGTTGACCATCCACGATGATTTTGATGCAGGGAAGACATTTTACATGGAGGAAAAAGCACAATGTCAGATGTGGCAGGAAAGAGAAAGAGCTCAGAGAGAAGCGAGAAGATGAGATGATAGGATTTAAAAAAAAAATTTTTTTTTTTTTTAAGATTTTATTTATTTGACAGACAGAGATCACAAGTAGGCAGAGAGGCAGGCAGAGAGAGAGGAGGAAGCAGGCTCCCCGCTGAGCAGAGAGCCCGATGTGGGGCTCGATCCCAGGACCCTGAGATCATGACCTGAGCCGAAGGCAGAGGCTTAACCCACTGAGCCACCCAGGCGCCCCGAGATGATAGGATTTTAGTCTGTCTGAGCCCTTTATCATTTCCTATGTGACCTTGGGCAGGTTTTCAACCTCTCATTGTCTCAGTTTACAAATCTGTAGAACCAAGACAATGGTCAGAGCTGTTTCATTGTTGTTGTGAAGATTACATGACTCCCAAATATTGGTAAAAAGCACTTGTATTATGAGAGGTTGGAATGAACAGGACTTCAGTCTGGAAAGACAAAGGCCAAGAACAGGTATGTGGGAAATCTGTGAAGCCAGGCACCATATAGACAGCCCAGGTAGGGACTTCTTTATAAGGCCGAACACGAAGATTAAGGTTTGAGGGCGCCTGGGTGGCTCAGTGGGTTAAAGCCTCTGCCTTCAGCCCAGGTCATGATCCCAGTATCCTGGGATGGAGTCCCCTATTAGGCTCTCTGCTCAGCAGGGAGCCTGCTTCCCCCTCTCTCTGCCTGCCTCTCTGCCTACTTGTGATCTCTGTCTACCAAACAAATTTAAAAAAATTTAAGATTAAGGTTTGAGAACAATGGGAGGAAGCACTTTTTTGCTTAGTAAAGATTATGCATCTGGGACACACTTCTTGGTGAAGCAGGAAGCCTCTCTGGCCTAGATTAGGTCTGGCTTGGTTTCGTTTGACCTTTATCAATGATCTTGGGCGCTGTCATTGGTCTCAGTTATTATTATAGGTAGCTCTGAGAAAAATATGCTGACGGTGACTATTTAATTTAAAGATTTAGCATCCAGTAAACATTTCAAAGGATAGTGATTAAACAGCTTGAAACCCCATAGCCTAATAAATCTAGATCATGAAAAAATTAGTTTGCCTCTAACTGACATTAGGACTTGTAAACAAAAGTCTTTTCCTGTTCTTTCTCCCTCAGTTTCCCTCTCTTTACTCTTGTAAATTTCTCTTCTTCTGGGTTACTCTCCTTACCTTTTCTCCTCTCATGCCTCCTTTATACCTTTCATTGTTTTTTGTTCCTGTTCTTTCAGCTTCCATCTCTCCCCTCAAATCTCGATTAAGTAAAATTACAGTATAACATATTTCAGAGCGTGTTACAGATACTGAATAAAGATTTATGGTTCCTTAACTTAAAGAACAGTATTTTGCTATTAGTATTTTATATATTTTTCTTGAACAAAACTAAGGTAAGTACTTTTTACTTGAGTATACCTCAGAATTTCCTTGAAAAATGTGGATCAATGAATCACAGTAGAAAAAAGTTTCTCTTTGTCCTATCCTAAGAGATTGTGGAGGCTAAAGTTAGAGATCCTCCCAGAAGGTTTAGATAATGGATTTGGATTCAGAGGGTTTGCTAAGGGCAAGGTGGGAATGCTCATCTCAAATCTCCACCCACAGAGGCCAATGGCAGGGTGATGCTGACAAAATTCTGCCGCTGCAACATTCCTTAGGAAGCACTGGTCAGGTCCCATCCATTCTTATGCTCTTACCATAAGTAACCAGATCCCTCTGTGCTTTCTAGAAGGTCATACTGTTATACTGTTGTATGACAGGTATATTATATTAAGTGAGGATTTTTTTCTTTCTTTTTTAAATTAAATATAATGCATTATTTGGCCCAGGGGTACAGGTCTGTGAATCATCAGGCTTACACATTTCACAGCACTCACCATGGCACATACCCTCCCCAATGTCCATAACCCAGTCACCCTCTCCCTACCCCCACCCCCCAGCAACCCTCAGTTTGTTTTGTGAGATTAAGAGTCTTTTATGATTTGTTTCCCTCCTGATCCCATCTTGTTTCATTCTTTCCTTCCCTACCCCCACAACCCCCCCCTGCCTCTCAAATTCCTCATATCAGAGAGATCATATAATTATCTTTCTCTGATTGACTTATTTTGCTTAGCATAATACCCTCTAGTTCTATCCACGTCATTGCAAATGGCAAGATTTCATTCTTTTTGATGGCTGCATAGTATTTCTTTGTATATATGTACCACATCTTCTCTATCTATTCATCTGTTGATGGACATCTAGGTTCTTTCCATGGTTTGGCTATTGTGGACATTGTTGCTATAAACATTCAGGTGCATGTGCCCCTTCGGATCACTACATTTGTATCTTTAGGGTAAATACCCAGTAGTGAGATTGCTGGGTCGTAGGGTAGCTCTATTTTCAACTTTTTGAGGAACCTCCATGCTGTTCTCCAGAGTGACTGCACCAGCTTGCATTCCCACTAACAGTGTAGGAGAGTTCCCTTAAGTGAGGATTTTAAGTGCTGGGATTGCTGCCATCATTCTTGTCCTGACAATCCATATTCTAGATTTCCATATCTTATCTGTTCACCTGCCTATTCTGGATGCATCTTCCTGGTGCTTATCATTTTGAAGAGCAACGAGAGAAGTAGAAATACAAATGAAGCCATTCTATTATCTTCAAACCCTTTTGGTCAAAGAACAAAAGTGGATGGTCCAGGGCGGACCTTCAGTTTTCCTTGACTCCATAATTACAGCCAGACTGTAGGTCATTTGCCTTCGGTAACTAATTTTGCACAATAATGAAGCACTATATGCTACCAACGCAATAGTCTCTAGTCTATAGTGTACTTGACCACGACCTAACACATATGCTACCTTCTATCCCTGGAAATTCAGCACATGCACAACATGATCATGACCCTGAGATCACGACCTGAGCCAAAACCAAGAGTTGGACATGTAATGACCGCACCACCCACGCATCCCTGGAGTACATGCTTGAAGGAAAAGAGTGACTACAGAAAAAACCCAACACTCATGCTCTTAGCAACCCCCTATTTGTGTTAAAGAAACCATAGGTTTCAAAGTGCATTATTTTTTGTCTCCTGTTCAAATATAATCTGTCAAAATCTATATGCTCTCACTTTAGAGAAATGACTTGTTTTAATTATCTTTGAAGTTTGGAGTTCTCCCAGAAAGACAGCACTCTAGACAAATTATTCAATACACACCAAAGATGATGTGTAGGACAATAAGCCAAATGGGAGTTTATTGTTTTATTGTAGAGTTTTAAAAGAAAATAAATATAACAAATGTGACATTTTGCTCTAAACTACAGGATATACTTCTAAACATGGGTATTTTTTAGTACAGCAAACCCTATGGCATTTAGGCTCTCTTCTTTTATCCTAACTATGCACAGGTTGAATTTTTAATGCCCATCACCTCCACCCACTGGCCTGCAGAGCTGGCTATCTCTCCGCTCTAGCAAGCAGACTTAGGTTTGCATATGGCAAGGGAAGTGGACATGCAGAAATTGCAAACAATTATCCATGTGAGATTGGCCAACTCCCCTGGAGACTGGGATTAGATCATCTCCACAGTCCCTCTCACCTCTCACGCATAACGATTCTCTTCCTAAACCACCACTATTCTGCTAATTCCTGCCACGTCTGCAAACCAAACCAAGGACAAGTCACAACTGATTCTGTCCTTTGACTGAATGGCCAAAATACACTTTTATTGCTGAAGAAATGAAACGTCAAAGGAGAAGACTTTGAAAGGTACTGCACCGCTATGTTCCAAGCATTTATCTTTTTTTTTTTTTTAAAGATTTTATTTATTTATTTGACAGAGAGAGATCACAAGTAGACAAAGAGGCAGGCGGAGAGGGAGAGAGGGAAGCAGGCTCCCTACTGAGCAAAGAGCCCGATGCGGGACTCGATCCCAGGACCCTGAGATCATGACCCGAGCCAAAGGCAGCGGCTTAACCCACTGAGCCACCCAGGCGCCCCCCAAGCATTTAGTTACTGAGAATAGACACTCTTTCAGGATAAAAATTTCCTTTTAAATCACCTGGATAATGATTTCAATTCTTCATATAAACACAGAAATTAACAGGATCACGTGGAGTTAAGATTGGGACTCCTTGGGGCACCTGGGTGGCTTAGTCGGTTAAGCATCTGCCTTCCGCTCAGGTCATGATCCCAAGGTCCTGGGATTGAGCCCCACATTCAGCTCCCTGCTCCGCGGAAAGCCTGCGTCTCCATTTCCCACTCCCCC